CCAACTTTAAAATAAAGCACCCAAGGCCTCACTAGCTGTTTAATTTATTTACATGGTGCCTCTGTCTCAACCTTTCTCCATAAAAAACTGACAAAATATGCCTCTTAAAGGCATTGTATCGTCACATTCCCTGTTGCTGCTCTCATGAGTGCTGCTGACTGTTTGTTGGTTCATACATTCTAACTCCTGCAGGTTTCTTAAAGTGGTTTTGTACTTAAATGCTTTCAGAACCTTTTTCTTCTGCATCAAATGGATTCTCTCTATGATCGTACTTTCCAGCATTTCAGAACCCAATACCGATTGTTGTTTTAAACCCTGTGTTACTAACCACTTGTCTAGCTTGTGGCTTGTGTTCAGAGCATAATCTTTCCACCAATCCTCCTTTCTTCTCTTTTAAAGCAAACCTAAAATCAGGTTAAACAGCTTCTGATTGGGCACAGGAAAAAAAAAACATAATCAAATGGTAAACAAGAGTTTACTAACTTAAAATGTCATTACCCTGGGTGATGATGCACTCCAGTCCCTATGGTGCCCATTGTTCTCTAAAGCCCTGTATCATGCTGGTAGACACTGTATGCTTCCTCTCACTGGACACCCGTGTGCAGATGTAACCATTGAGAAGGGGCAGGCAGTCTGACACAATGACACCCCCCAAAGCCCACTGCCTGGACGCTGTGTCTAAGGACCTACTGAATTATAGGTAGTAAAGGATAAACCACTGGTAAGTCTTATCAAGAAAAGACATTATCAAGAAAAGTCTTACATACCAAGAGGTAGTTTATTTCAGGATACCATTAGGTGCAAGTTACATTGACTAAGTAGACATAGGGTGGAATTTTCCCAGATTCTGAACATTGTGGGCCATGGCAAATCAGTTGGGAAAAATATGCCAAAATCAGAAAAATGGATTGCTAGACATAGAAAAGGAAATCAGATTCTGCAACCACAACTGAAAAGCGAGAAAAGAATCTCACTAACCAGCAGTTAGAGACCGATTTGCAAGCGTTATGTGATATCATCTCATTTATATGCAGTTTTCTATTTTCTCACGTGTCAGATCGAAAGTAAAAGGCAATAATTCCCAACATGAAAGTCAGAGCAGGTACCTGTTGGCCCCAGCTCGCTGCTTGCTGCTTGGGCTCTCATCTTTTCCCCAAGATCTCAGGGTACACTCCATTGGCAGTGACTGCATGCAATCCCATCTATACAGGTTGGCATCAGACATGCACCCCCCTGCCCCCCTCACCATGTTATCATGGCACACTAACTCATATAGAATCCAGTTTGGCACTTAACTGCACTTTGGAACACACATACACCTTTCATTATAATGCTGCTGCCAGGCCAGCTTTGTGCACAGGGACAAACAGTCACATCATGGATTGGACCAGGGTGCATCGCAACTCTCCTTGCTTGCTCACTTTGCACCTACTTGGATGCTCACAGCATCTTTGACATTCCTTTCCTTGTCTTCTTGCATTTTGCCACCTCATTCAGAACTTAATAACTCACAGTGTTTCTGTGTTGCCATGCCATTTAGCATAGACACCAAGCCAAGACAGCTTATCATGTTTGTCAGCAGTCATCAGTCAAATGGGTGGATATGTTGCTGTATAGTGGGGTGCTGAACCAATCTCACACCTATAGCCTGGAATAGCAGTTCATCCACTCAATGTGCTTCAACCAAATGACCGTGTCTCCATGTCTATGGGGACTAGTCCGCAGTCAAATCAACTCAAGGGAGTTTGTTGCCAGTCGGAGGTCCTACCTCAGTCCATTAAGGACAGCATCAAATCTCAGTCCAGGGGCTTGACAAGGCCAGTCAACTGTTTAAGGTAGTCAGGGTCAGGGGTTCTGTATCATTATAGCCTGGCAAGTGGCCATGGCCAGTCCTGCAAGCCCAGTCTGGGGATTCATTGTGGGAGCTACACAGAGATCAGTCCAGGGTTTGGTCGCTCAGCAGCAAAGGATGTCCATCCAGGTCAGTCAGTGAGATGAGCCATGGTCAGTTCTGTGGTCAGCCCGATTAAGTCAAAAGGGTTTATCAGGAGCCACTGGTGTGGTGTGGAGGCAGGGGACATTAGTTATGGGGACTGGAGGCAGCATGCTGAGGTACTGAGGAGAGAATAGTTGTGAAGCAACTCATCACATAAAGGTGAGAGATGATAGCGCACTAAAGGGCTATCTGCACTCTGTGGGAAATCCTAGACAGTCCTGATGGTCTGGATGACCGTCAGTACAGTAAGTGCCTTTGGTTTGAGTAACCCATGTTATGGGGTTTAATCTTGCATGGCACTTAGTCTGTGCATTTATGAGGCTGAGGGATTCACGGATTGCATATTTCAGGATGTGGTCACCCTGCAGCTTAAAGAAGTGCAGACTCAGAGGGACTGCTTAACCACAGAGAGATGATAGGGACTAGGCAGGTAGTGAGAAAATCTCCTGAGTACATCTCACTCATTTTCTGGCTTTGGAAATGGTGAGACTGACTGCTCAACATTCCTACTTAAAGGTATCAAGGAGAAATAGACAGGGAAATAGAAGATTGGGTTGGGTGGGGCTGGATTTCACAATATTGATCAAGTAATCAATTGCAGCAGGGAGGAAGGATAATTTCTTGGAAGGATCATCAAATGAGGCCTTACAGGTTGAATTAAAAAATACAAAAGAGGCAAGCATGTTGTTGATGTGTGCTGTTGGTTCTCAAACAGTCAGGGAGAGATAGAAAATCAAATTTGTAATTGAATTTCAGAGAAGTGCAACTATAAATATATTTGGGCATTTTAACTATTCAAAAAGAACTGGAATAGTTCTAGTGTATGAGAAAAGGAGGGAGCAAAGTGTTACTTGCTCCCAGGAGAACTTTGTCAATTGGTACGTAGAAAACACAACAAGGGAGGAGGCAGTTCTGGATCTAATATTCAAAAATGAGTTCAGGCAAATGGATGGCATATCAGGAGGGAGCAATATGAGGATAGTGACCATAATTCAGTTAGATTGAGAATAGTTATGGAAAAGGATAAAGGTGGGCCTGGAAGGGCTAATTTAACGAATACAAGATACAATTTGACCCTAGTGGACTGGGAACAGCTACTTGCAGATAAAATTGTGGGAAGTATTCAAGGAGGAAATAGCAAGATTACAGGCCATATACGTTTCCCTAAAGACAATGGGGTGGGACCAAGACTGGAGAACCCTGGAAGTCAAGGGGCATAAAAGTTAGGATTAAAGAAAACGGAACTTTATTGCAGATGCTAAGGATCAATATCGCAAAGCCCCTAGATAAGTATAGAAAGTACAGGGGGATCTTAAAAAGGAAAGTAGCAAAGCAAAAAGCAAGAATGTAAAAGCATTAGCAGGTAGAATAAAGGAAACCCAAAAGGGATTCTTAAATATATATAAAGAGCAGGAGAATAACTAGGGAAAAAGCAGGGTCCAGTAGGAACGATCAAGGTAATCTGTGTGTGGAACCAGAAGTCATGGGCACAGTCTTCAATGAATCCTTTATGTTAATCTTCACAATGGACACAAGTATATACATCAAGGTGGAGGATTTTGAAATATTAGAAGAAATTAATATAGAGTCTACATGCCCATATTTAGTTTCTTGGCTCATTACTATATCTTTTGCTAGTTGTACCATGATCCTTTTCGTTGTTTATTCACCTTGTTTTTTACCCTATGATAGATCTTCCCTTTTGATCTTTGCTCTTCTCTTCAACCCTCTATGTTGGCTAAAACTTGTTACATCTCTAACTTTCATGAGTTCTGATGCAAGGTTATTGGCCTGAAATATTAATTCTGTTTCATTTTCCAAAGATGCTGTAATCCTTGCTGCACACTTCCAAGTTCACAGTTTTAATCAGATTTCCCATCTCCACAATACTTTGCTTGTGTTTAAGTCAATAAGGTATGTTGTTGCATTATCTTTGCATAACATGTTTTGTGAATTACTCTATTCATTCTTTTTCCAGTATCTCTCAATCTAAAGTGAACATGTTAGATGAAAATGTTTTTTTTTAATGGTAGTCATGCCCCACTTTAAAATATATATATAGTAACAGTCTGTTTGCACTTAAAATGTTTTAGAAATACACATTACCACAATTGAAAAACATAATTTATAGTGCTTTTCTCTTCCTACATGGTTAAAGCATAGCTTTGAATGTAGCTGTACTCTGCAACCAGATTCTGTATTAATTAGTAGTAAAATCCAAAGCCTATGAAATTGATATCCACCTTTGCAACTTGCATATTAAATATGCAAGATACCCGAATTAACCCAACAAAAACTGTTAAAGTTAAGTTGTTACCCCAGTGACAATAATGAACATGTTACCTTCTGATCTATAGGGTTGATTAACCATTAGATTTTGTATGTTCCATTTCCAGAGAAGCTGGAGTCTTCTCTGTTCAAACTGATATCACGTGATAAAATAGCCTCCTGACTTGAGCTAATGTGTGTGATGATGCAAAGTCATTTTGTGGCTAAATGGAAATGGTGTTAAAATTGAATTATTAGCTAAGTCGAATTAAAAGGTGCAGACTGTTAAAGGAGAAAATGTGTTCATTGCCTGCTTCCAGTGGTTTCTTGAACAAATATTCCTCCCATGTGTTTAACTTGATGTAAGCATCAACAATTTTAGGCAACTGTGTCTTTAGTTGAATGTTAATGAAAGACCACAGTTCAGCAAAACTGGTAAGACAAAAAAAAATGGAATGCTTTTCTGAAATTCAAACGTTTAGTGAAAATACATTTCAAATTGCAAATCCGTCGATAATTTTGCTTAATGGAAACCATCTGTTGAGCTATTAAATTCTTTATCGCACACATCACACAGACATCTGTTTGCAATCTGTAGGAGCCTGCAAAGTACTCTCTTTAAATTAAAAACATTCTCAATTCTGTCAAACTTTTAAAATACTTGTTGTCAACACTAGAATGACTAACAAAAGTTCCATTCTATGTGACTCATCTTTAGTCTAACTCATTCAGCTGTTAAATCTTTGTTCTGTGTCTGGATAGTGCTCACTTCAGCATCTGCTTGCAAAGCTAGTCTAGGCTAAGCTGTTTTGGATACTGCTTTAGAAAATAAGGAATATTTTATTTTGCTGTGGACTGAATAATCTGATTTTCTCCCCGACACACTTGGAAGGGAGAAGAAAGAATATTTATTTGGTCAAGGTAACTTGTTTGGATTAAAGAACAAAGATGATTTTAGTAATTTAAGTTTACCAGTGATCTGTTTTCTTTCCTTCTGTCTGCAATAGAATTGTGCAGTTATCTTATATTTAGGTCACAAAGAATATGATCCTCGAGAATGAATACTGTGTGCTGCATTTTCAAGAAACCTACTAGACCAGCAGCAAACTTATAAAGAAGATAAAATTGTTATTCTAAAATCCTAGCACTTGAATGTTCTAAAGCTCTATATGCTTTTGTGTTACCTTGCTGCTTTTGTGATGTTGCGAAAGTCATTTTTAAATCAAAAAATTAACAATAATACATACTAGCACTATACTTGTTTAATATGTCAATTGTTTAACAATATACCTTCAAAATGCATGATGAAAATATTACCACTCAGGTTTACCCTTAGCTGAATCTTAACTCTTCATGGATTTTCTTAACTAATACTTGGGTAAAAAGAACTATTGTACTGAATTGATTCTAAAAGAGCCAGCTGCAAATTTGCCAAACATGGTTGTTTTTCTTTTAGATGGGATAATATTTTGATTAAATAAATCCAAATTCCAAAATGTGCGTGTCACAACATATAATAAGTCTGTCTGTAATGTTAGTTGTGCTGTTAAATTGTTTCCAGAAGCTAACAGCAGCTGAATGTAATGCTAGTTCCTTTATGTGTTTTTATCTTGTTTATATTGACTTCATTCAAAGTCTGGAGTGAAATCCACAGTTGAGAGAATATCATTCTATTTTCCTGTAGTTAACATGTGTCTCTAATAAAGCAGAAAAAATTAAGAATTTGCATTTGTATATTGTCTTTCAGATTGACAGGATATCCAAAAGCATGAAATATAACTGTGTAATAGGGATAAACTAAAATTAAGTGGAAGTTGCAACTTTTCAACAGTTAAATTTTCAAAGTTTAAGGAATGGCTATTTAACTTATCCTCTGGGTGTTAGGTTTCATTATACTAGGTAAACCAAAGATTGAGTGGAAAGGTAGCTGAAGATTGAGAAAGGGAAAAGTTTAATTGCATTGAAGTACATTAACTGTTCAATGATGTCTTAATTTGCAATATTTTAATGTCTCCGTTACCTCTTTTATCTTGTGATATGAAACTTTAATTTATGTAGATATATTCCTATTTGTGGTATTGTGTCTTGTATGATCTCCATTTTAACCTTTTGTTTCTTCTAAATATTTCCCCATTGGCAGTGATGAATAAGAAGCTCTTGGGTTTGATGTGGCTTGTGCTGTCTTATGTCGGTGGTGCCAGCATACCTCACACTACTGTAGCTGGCTGGTCTACCTACTGGCTATCATATATTTCCATTATTTAAGTAGGAAATGGATACATGTTCAAGATAGTTTGGAAGTATCTTGTGGACAGCTTGCATCTGATTTTGCTAAGGATAAAACCTTGAGTATGTTAGCACGAACTGAAAACATGGGACTGTAGCCATTTTCAACAGTGCAACAGATGGTGAAACTGAGGGAGCTGAGCTACAAAAATTAACTGAGAACTTGGGTTGAATAGGAAGGGCAACAGTATAGAAGGCATTGGAGATGTGAAGAAAAATGTGGAGGAATAGTAAGTCGTTGTCAATTAATATGTTGTGGATAATGTGGTTGCCATATTCTGCAGGTTTCAGACAGCAAGTGATGAAAGATTTGATAATGATGTTGCATTGAATTATAGAGATGAAACACTGAAACAGGCTTAGTAGTTCAATTGATCCATATTGTTCAATGCTGAGCAGATGTCCTAATCCCATATGCCCATACTATTTCCACACTTTTTTTTATATCCTAGTTGGGTTTAATCATCCATCTAATCTATTCATAAATGCTGTTCCGGTTTATGCTTCCATCATTCTATAATGTGATGACTCTTTTGTTTAACCTGTTAATTCTTCTCTCTCTTTTAAAGTTCTGCTAAGTATGTCTTTGTAAATCACTGGTTTAATATTTTTCTTTAGTTTTCTCCTGTGGATATTAAAGAATTATCAACAGCACTGGCAGCATGTTTCAACCATTCCTTGTGTTTAAGATAATACGATCCTATCTTGACTAGATTTCAATTTGTACAGTTTCTAGCAGGAGTTCCTAGCCAATGATTCAGAGGAATGTCTTTTCCCCCATAGTTCACCTGTCCATAGATGTAACTGCTATCATGAAGGCATACCTATTCAACGTAAACCAGGGGCATAACCTGTTATAACAATGTGTAGAGCTGGATGAACACAGCAGGCCAAGCAGCATCAGAGGAGCAGGAAGGCTGACGTTTCGGGCCTAGATCTTCTTCCCTTGATCTATATGGCTCACTATCACAACCTGTTATCTTCATAGTTTTCCTTTTTAATTTCTAATAAAAATATTAAACTCATCTAATCTATTTCCTTATAATCATAATTCCTTGCTGAAACTTGAAAGGCAACAAATATAAATACTTTCTGCATTCATATTCTCTTTGTATTACACATATTCAAATGTATGCTATATCCTTCTGATTGTTGCAGTATGTGAAGGTTTCTTTTCATTTTCCTCGTGGTTGAATTGCATCTTAAATAGGTGAGGTGGTGTTATTTCAGTGAATTCCAATCATTACAGAATTTTCTGTCAGAAAGTGCAGTTGGTCTCCTGTACAGATGTTTCTTTTAGACTTACATTTTGATTTATTAAAACAGTAGTCAATTTGTATATAAATTCATCCCAATCTGATGTTGATTTGTAAGATTCAAACTGGTCTGGGCACACAATCACTTCAATGTTCTGCACAACAGTTTCCTTTTATTTAGCTTTGTCTGGTTGGTAGGAGGGGTGAAAATGGCTGCAATGAATGATGAATGTAGGAGCAGATCTGGGTCACGGCATAATTTCTTAAACCTCCCCATTTTCTAACCTGTCAAAATTTATGAACCAGCAGCATAAGACTTTGTGAGAGATCAGATGTCTGGTAGCTAAATGTTCTATTAATGGTAAGAATAGAGAGGATTCATGAGGCCAGCATTGAGGTAGAAATGTGTTTGGAAGTGAAGGATTAAAGTGTGGTGGAATGGGTAATATATACGACTAGAAGATCCTGAGGAGATAAAGTTGGATGACAGCTTAGAGAGATTTAAGAATGTGTATTTTAAAAATTGTCCATTAGGGGACAGTATGCTAGTGTAAGCCATAAAGGAACCAAGAGGAAGGTGCTAGGGCTTTGGACAATCCAAAGATTATTGGGTGTGGCTGCTGAAATGCTAGCTGTAAGTATGATAATATAGTCATTATGTTACAGGACTAATAAAACAGAGACCTGGATTTATAACAATCCAGAGCAAAATCCTACCATGGTTTCTGGGGAGTTTTAAGTTCAATCAATTAAATCAGGGGGAAGAAAGTACTGATGAGTCTGAAATTTCCAGATCTTGTAAGAAGGTATTTGGCTTACAAATTTCTTTTATGGAAGGAAATCTGCTGACTACATCCGGTCATTTATTGTTGCTCATCCTTAATCCCAAGCGCTGAATAAATTGACAGCCTGGAGTCTCATGTCAGATGTAAGATTTCCTTTCTTAAAGAATATCAGTGTTCAGATGCACCACAAAAAGTGGCTTCAGGATCAACACCTCAAAGGAATAGGGGACATACACATTTTATGAAGCTTTATTGATTTTTATCATCTCTAGCTCTTTGACCACACTGAAAGGCCCTTCATTCAGGGCCATTGCACTCATAACTTCCCCCATACCACATTTTTCTTACATGTATTATGTGCAATCACAACTTTGTGCATTCACATCACTATCTGTTTCTATCAATACAGATATTGTGCTTGTGTACTCATGCTAATATCACGCAACACTTCTCACTGTTTGGAGAAAAAGATGTATGAGCATGCATAGAGGGAGTGGGGGGAGAAAGGCTGTTTGAAGTCAAGGAAGGGATTGCAGGAGCCTGGGGAATGTGCCTGTGCCAAAGGGGAAATTTGGAAGCTCATAAATATCAAACCTTCCCATTTGCATGTGAAGAACTAAAGTTTTATTGAGACCTTGGGTAAAGGTAGTACCTCTACACTAAAATGTCTTTGTTTTTTTCTCACTGTTGCCTCCAGGTTCCAGTTAAGTTTAGTAGTTGTAAAATTAATACTCCCTTGAGCGCAGGAATACTTCTGTGTTAACAATTGTTAACATCTTTCTTCTGAGTGTCCACAAATACTCATGCAAAGTCACTCATGCTTAAATTCAGCTGCTGCCAGATCCTCTCAGGCCTGTATCAGTACTGCCCTGAAGTCTTCTACAAGATCAGCATTGGCTCCCTCAGCATCTCTATCAGGGACCGCCTTCTTTGTCATCTGAGAAGACAGGTGATTGGCGCATGTCCCACTTTGCACCCCATCATCCTGCACAACTATTGTTTTTGAGATCCTGTCCAATGAGTGCTGGAGCATTTCTCCTGAGCATCATCTGACCAATTGCCTGTTCAGTGATGGTCCAAGTGGGTGAATGGGCAACATTGTAACATGGTTTGATATTAGAATGGGAATTGTGCACTGGGATGATTAACCATGCCTTCTGGGGGTATCCCTTGTCATCCATGAGCCAGCCCTGAAGATGATGCAGGAGGAAACATTCGAGCTACCTGGAATCTGTCCAGAATCTAAGTGTTGTGACATCTCCCTGGATGAAAGTCACACTCCGTCAAGAATGGTTGCATGTGATCACAAATGAGAGAGTGAACTTCCTTCCCGTTTAGGATTCTGGCTGGATGGTGTCATGGAGCTCCTAGCATCGCATACAAGCAGTCAATGGACCTTTGTATCTGAAGGAGCCCAGCAACTGCCTTAGGCACCTTGACTCTCTGGGTCCATGGTGAACTGGACAAACAATTGCTTTCCTGTAAGAGGCATCATTGAACTCCTGAATGCACTGTGGACTGCTAATCAGCAGATGCAATGCATGTCCCTGGTTGGGGCTTCAAAGGGGTCAGTGGCTGGAAAGTTAAGTGCCAG